AAATGTATTCATTGTATAGCAAAAAAAAAATAATTAATGGTTAGCACATTTGTTTTGCACCTCTGGGGGTGTAGGTTTGAATACCACCTCTGCCCTGTATGCACATAGTGTGCCTGAGTTTGCCTGAGTTTGCATGTTCTCCCTGTGCTTTGGGGGTCTCCTCCAGGTACTACAGTAAAAAGGCATGCATTATAGGCTGATTGGCATGTCTAAATTGTCCGTAGTGTGTGAATGTGTGTGTTTGTGTCCTGCGATTGTTTGGCACCACATGTTCCCCCCCGCGGTGTTCCCCGCCTTGTGCCCTGAGTTTCTTGTTATAGGCTCCAGGCTCCCCCTTGATCCTGTGTAGGATAAGCGGAACAGAAAATGGAAAGATGAATGGATGGATGGATTGGTTTTAACCAGATAAAAGTAGAGAAGTGCTTTATAGTCTCCATCAATAACAAACAAAAATCCCCACACAAGTACAAATAGTCAGGATCATAGAATACCATCAAGCTAAAAACTCTGTTAGAGAGGAGTTTGTATAGCAGGAAAAACAACACAAGTTAAGTGTTTTTAATTAATTCTCATTAAATTGCTCATTAAATTTAATTGCTCATTAAATTAAAGTCTTTATTTAACTGCCAGTGACGTAGCTGTTCAGACACTCAGGAGAAGTTCACTACTGAGGGGTGGTTGGTCGAGCCTTGCTAGAAGCTCAAAGTGAAACTGTTGCAGAGCGGGGTGTCTTCAGGTAAGTGGGGGTCCACTTTTGTATTTGTAGGCAAGTATCACTGTTAAATCTATTGTTGGGAGCTATAGGTATGCTGTAAATAGGACATAGCAATGGGGTGATATAAGAGAACTTGAAAACAAGCTGAGCAGCTTTATTCTGGATCAGTTACAGGAGTTTAATGGAGGACAGGAGCAATGTCCACTGTACTGCTGAACAAGCACAAGTGTGGCTTGCAGGGATAGAAATCCTCATCATGCTGTAAAGCAGAACCTGCATGACTGAGTCTGGTTAGCAATATGAGGAGAGAATTATAGTTCTGTTATTCCCAAGGGAATAACAGTTTGCTTGCTGTAAACCAACACAATCTCATGTAGTAATCCTGGAATCCATACTACTACTGAACAGTGCTGATAACACTGTAGAGAATGTTCTTATAAAGGGCCACATGGGGCTGTTTTAGTCTGTTTTGAGTTAACACACAGTGAGTTGGAGGCCTTCCAGAATTTCCAGTGGGTAAATGGTTACTTGAAGGAAGCCAGGGAACCTGCAAAACGGTAACATGCCTCAATGTTCACTTGGTCACTGAAAAGAAAGGCATGCTGTGAGGAAGTGCTGCACCGTAACTGGTTAGGGGGAAAGCAACAACCTTTTTTAAGTAAAATTATTTGACGACAATGAAAAATGTCCGGAGTGTGTAGAACACTGCTCCACTGTGCTCCTAGGGATTGTGTGACCAAAAAAAGACATGCCTAAACATGGCAGTGTAAGCAAAGCCTGAGAACATACAAACTGTGGAAACTCGACAGGATTAAATACATACCCATGAGGCACTCTGGCATTAGAAACAGAGTATAGAGCATACATTGCAGCTGGAGTTTTGGATACTGATAATATGAATGTAGTTGAGGGAGTGAGACAGAGATTGGGTAGAGAGATAAGTGACTCTTATTTAAAGCAAAAGACAAACCTCTACTATATTGATTACAGTCAACAGCCATTATCTGTTGACTAAGTATTTTTAGGTGTGACAGTATGGAAGCATTTGTTAGGTGCTTATTATTTATTATAGGACTATTAAAGGGCAGACTACACGTTCAGTTAATCATTTGTGGCTTGTGAAATTAATGCAAAATGTATAACTGGGGAAATGTTCTGAGAACCTTCATCAAAACTCCTAATGTTCAGATATGTGGTGCTAGAAGGAAGAAGTTTCTGATTTGATAGTTCTCTCAGAATAGTTATTGCATATGTTAATTCAGTTACATTCACTTCCTTATTGTAATTATAACAATCAGATTCTAGTAATAAACTGCTCGGGCTCCTTTTTATAGTTAATAATTCACAGCAAGATCCTCACCTTCTATCTTAGGCGGTTCTGTGTGCTGTAACAATGAAGTGAGCGTCATGTGCTTCCAGTGTAGTTTGTCTCATTTCGGTTTTAACACCTCTATAAAAAAAACACCAGACACATGAACAGATATCATAAGGCCAAACTGACACAGTGTACCACTTCCTTCTTCATGAGAATGACCTTAACTAAACTGAGCACAATGCATGTATGAGGTTATAGTCAAGTTCCTCAATCATTAGCATCGTTTCCATTTACCTGTTTTTATGCAAATGCTACGTTTATGAATGAGAAAAGCACCAAGCCATAAATAATTTTTTTTTTTAAATCCTAAATATTGAAACTTTATTCTTGGAAGAGATGATTTCCAAGTTCTAGTATTAATAAAAGTTGATAAAGCATGACGAAAACAGCATGAAATATTTATTTATTTATTTTTAAAATAAATGTTATGGCCAATGCGTTCTTCAACATTTTAGCTTCTCCAAAATATTTGTTTAGCAGTAGATGATGGAAAGCAACATTTCACAATGACTTTTTGTGCTGTTTTGGAAATTTGCATAAATCTTGTGGAACATTTCACTGGAAAAAACTGATGTAAACCATGAGGTTTTATCACTGCAGTTCAGGTAAAACCTGTTGAATTTTCTTTTATCGGCCCATGAATCATGAAAACATTTTTTTTTATAGTCAGTATCTTAGCTAACGCATGGAAAATAGTGATATAATTAAGCCCCATGTTGCTAAGATTCTATCACTGTCTTGTAAATGTTTAAGGGCTGGCAATATATAGCTCTTCATTTATTTACGCTTGCTGTTTAAAGAGTGACACTGTGTCCATTTCAGGTAATGACTTAAGGTTTACTTGCTGTTTTGTAAAAATAGAAGAGTGCAGCTGTGCTGGGAACTCATTGTTTCCTGGTTGTCTTTCCAAGGCAATCCATTTGGTATGATGAAATCATCTCAACAAGGAAGTGGGAGCATGTTAAATATGAAAAACAAATTTGGCACTAAATATATAATCTGTTCTAGTACATTACTAAAATAGTGCTGGATCTCAATTTTTTTTAAATAGAGAAGAATATCTTAAATGTCCATAAGCAGAGCTTTGGTACATCTACTGCACTGTGGTGCTTGAAAGCTTGTGTAGAACGGTCTATATATCTGCATAAATATGATCTACAACTTCATCAGATTTTCACAAAAGTTCTCAAGTTCTCACACCCTTTAAACAAATGAGACCAAATATTATACTTAATCATTTATTTACTGAGGAAAATTATCCAATATTACATATCGGTGAGTGGCAAAAATATGTGAACCTTTGCTTCCAGTATCTGGTGTGTATCCCATGTGCAGCGATAACTGCAATTAAACATTTCCAGTAACTGTTGATCGGTCCTGCACATCAGCTTGGATGAATTTTAGCCCATTCCTCAGTACAGAACAACTTAAACTCTGGGATGTTGGTGGATTTCCTCAATAAACTGCATGCTTCAGATCTTTCAAAAACATTTCTATTGGATTAAGGTCAGGATTTTGACTTGGCCAATTTTATTAAAACCCTATGATGGCATATGCAGAGGTTGAAATGTCATACAGGCATAGTCATGATTAGTATCAGTAATGCTGCATTACAGAATATAGGAAGTAAGGACAAAAGGATGCAAAAGAACAAATCAATTTGCTTAAAAACATGATTAGTGGCAGATAGATGACTCGGAAATAAATGTCTAATCATACTCAGGTATAAAATGTGACCCTGGCCAGGATAATGTGGTTACTGGAGATGAATGAATGAAACACAGACATTATTAGGATATAATGCATTAGCAAGAAATAAAGGATCACACGGTTTGTGCGATCAAGCACTTTATTACAAAATAATAAACAAACAGCATGCATAAAAATAGACAAAAGGTAGAATTTTCTCTTTGATTAAAGCAGGAATCCATCCATCTATCAATCCATTTTCTGTACCACTTATCCTTCATGGTCACAGGGAACCTGGAGCTTATCCTAGGGAGCGTGGGGCACAAGGTGGGGTACACCCTGGGCGGGATGCAAATCCATTACAGAGCACAATCACATACCCATTCAAACACCCTTTCATACACTACGGACATTTTGGACATATCAATGTCTTTAGACTGCGGGAGGAAACCGGAGTACCTGGAGGAAACCCCCGCAGCACGGGGAGAACATACGAACTCTGCACACAGAGGGCAGCGGCGGGAATTGAACCCCCAACACTGCCAGTGTGAGGCGAACCACTAAGCCACTGTGAGCCATAAAGAAGGAATATTAGACTTAAATTTCTGAAGGTCCAACTACATGCCATTCCTTGTTGGTAGCTTAATGTCTGGTTAAGCTACCAACATGACAGAAGAGTGACAACACACTTTTTAAAACTTAACAATGAACAGTTAGTTTATGGTTATAAATAAGTTTGCAGTGGTTATGTTTTGTTTTGTGTAGCTGTGTTTTATGTTACCACATTTGTCTAGCACCATGGGATCCATGAAATAAACACAGTCTTCTTTGTCCAGTAATCTTTTAAATATATGCTTTTGTCATCATTTTATTAATCAAACCAGAAAAGGCAGCTAAAATGTGTGTGTGTGTGTATATATACATACATACATATATATATATACATATATATACATACATATATATATACATATATATATATACATATATATATATATATATATATACTCACTGTCCACTTTATTAGGAACATCTGCCTCCCTTTGCAGATATCTAATCAGCCAAACATGTGACAAATGTACAGTGCATAAAATCATGTAGATACATTACATTACAACATTTGGCAGATGCCCTTAACCAGAGCGACTTACAATTAACTCATCTATACAAGTGAGCAGATGAGGACTAAGGGCTTTGCTCAAGGGCCCAACAGTGACAGCTTGGCAGTGCTGGGATTTGAAATCACAGCCTTCCAATCAAAAGTCCAACGTCTTAACCGCTGAACTACCCTGCATGATAGAGGTCAAGAGCTTCAGTTAATGTTCACATCAAACATCAGAATGGGGAAAAAACTGTGATCTCTGTGACTTTAACTATGGCATGGTTATTTGTGCTAGATGGGCTGGTTTGAGTATTTCCGAAATTGCTGATCTCCTGGGATTTTTACACACAACAGTCTCTAGAATTTACACAGAATGGTGTGGGGGAAACAAACAGACTGGAACCCCTTGTTGATGATCGAGATCAGATGAGAATGACCAGACAGGAAGTCTATAATAACTCAGATAATCACTCTTTATAACCGTGGTGAGCAGCAAAGCATCTCAGCATGCACATCAAACACATCACACCTTGAGGTGAATGAGCTACAACATTAAATTCCACTCCTGTCAGCCAAGAACAAGAATCTGAGGCATGATCAAAGTCACAGAGATCACTCTTTTTCTTAATTCTGATGTTTAATGTAATCATTACCCGAGGCTCTTGACCTGTATCTGCATGATTTTTTTGTATTGTGCTGTTGCCACATGATTGCAAGCAAAGTAAAATAATACAAATTGGTGAGGTTCAATGTAAAAAGTTAAATGAAAGGGGAAAATGTCTTTCTTACAGGCCTGGTGTGAGAAACCTCAGCACCCATTTTTATATATTGTTTGTCAGTGGACTGGTTCAGATGAGAAACTGAATACACTATTTTCCGTTCACAGAAGATCATGCTGTGATAAGCTAAGTATAGCCTGTTCAGCAGTTCATGTTATTTCTCCCACAATACATAATTCATTCTAAGCACAACAGTTTTTTCATGTCTCCATTTGTCCTTCAATTGACATCTCAGTTAGCTAGGGTGCTACAAAAGAACCATTCAGTCTCAAAACATCTGAATCAGCAACACTTCAATTTATAGGAGTAGATGTGGGTCCTGCAACAGAGGTAACAGGAAAGAAAAGAAAAGAAAGAAGGTAAAACATCACTGAACTGCAAAAATTTTTGAAAGTGTGTGTGTGGCTTCTAACTTTGACATGTCAGCACAACTCCCTTTACAGGAACAAGGAAAATTAGCAAGCCTCATGATGACTGCCCTTATGGTTCTGTGTGCTAAACCTATTCCTGTAAAGTTAGAGAATGATATTACAGAACAGGAAGATGCTGATAGACTGAGTGCACAAACAAGAGGAAGGTAATAAATCATTTCCAAAACCTCGATTTTTATACAAAGCTGCAGGAAAACACAGGGCATCGCAGCTTGCTGTGTATATGGCTGCATAGCCGTAGACCGGTCAGAGTGCCCATGCTGACACCTGTTCATCAGCGAAAGCTCCTACAATGGGCACATGAGCATCAGAACTGGATCATGGAGCAATGGAAGAAGGCGGCCTGGTCTTATGAATGACGTTTTCTTTTACATCATGTGACAGTGGGTGTGTGTGAGTCGCTTAAATGGGGAACAGATAGCATTAGGATGCACTATGGGAAGAAGGCAAGCCAGTGGAGGAAGTGTGATGCTCTGGGAAATGTTCTGCTCATAAACCTTGGGTCCTGGCATTCATGTGTATGTTACTTTGACACGTAAAACCTACCTAAACATTGTTACAGACCAAGTACACCCATTCATGGCAATGGTATTCCCTAATAGCAGTGGCCTCTTTCAGCAGGATAATACACCCTGGCACACTGCATAAATTGTTCAGAAATTGTTTGAGGATCATGACAAAGAGTTCAAGGTGTTCACTTGGCCACCAAATTCCCCAGATCTCAATCTGGCGAGCATCTGTGGTATGTTCTGGACAAACAAATCAGATCAATGGAAGCCCCACCTCACAATTGACAAGATCTGCTGCTAACGGCTTGGCGCCAGATACCACAACACACCTTCAGAGGTCTTGTGGAGGCCATGTCTCGACAGGTTAGAGCTGTTTTGGCAGCACAAGTAGGACCTACACAATAATAGACAGATGGCTTTAGATGTTAATACTGATCAATGTACGTCTATGCCCATTTCATAAAATACATTGGCCGTATAAGTTGAAGTACCAGAAATCTGAATCATGTCAGTGATTGCTACAGTACTCATCTTTGTGGAATCAAGATCAAAGATACATGCTGTGCTGTGTCTTGGCCATGATTTGATATTAGTCATAAAACCCATGGTAATATGTCTCTGTGTGTGTGTGTGTATGTGTGTGTGTGTGTGGGTGGGTGTGTGTAAGTGTGTTAATTGTCTGGTTGTGTGTGTTTTTGTGCGTGTGTGTGTGTGTGTGTGTGTGTGTGTGTGTGTGTGTGTGTGTGCAGGGTGGTCTCTTCTTCTTGTAAATAGCAACACTTAGTAGACCTCCTTAACTGAGTTTTCAGTATTTGACTTAGTAATCACCAGCCAGCTGCTGACAGCTGAGACACAGACAAAAGGATAAGTGATAAATGGTTAATCATGATCACGGGGGAGTACAGATACGTCATATGAATAAGAAGAACAACACTGATGCCAACACACTAACTTCTGCTAAAACATTTATAGGTTTCAAGTCCGTATAGCTAGACGTTTGTCCAGCACAATTGTTTAAGTGGAGGCATATAATAATAATAATAATAATAATAATAATAATAATAATAACAATAATAATAATAATAACAATAATAATAATAATAATAGTGGTTAGCACGTTTGCCTCGCACCTCCAGGATTAAGGGGTTGATTTCCACCACCACCCTGCATGTGTAGAGTTTGCAAGTTTTCCCTGTGCTTTGCGGGTTTCCTCTGGGTACTCCGGTTACCTCCCCCAGAACAAATACATGCGTTGTAGGCTGACTGGTATCTCTAAATTATCTGTAGTGTGTGAATGTGTGAGTGATTTTTCCCTGTGATGGGTTGGCACCCCATCCATGGTATCCCCCGCCTTGTGCCCCGAGTCCCCTGGGATAGACTCCAGGCTCCTTTGCAACCCTGCATAAGATAAGTGGTACAGAAAATGGATGTATGGACAATAATAATAACAAACATTTTACATATGAAATTAATGGAGTGCTTGTCCTCTAATCAGCTGACACTGTACATTGTTTTCAACTCTCGGACAGTAGACATTATCTGAGAGTACTCTTCGCCCAGACTATTTGCTATGAGAGAGGCCTAACGTCAGAAGACCAGCTGTGTTTAGAGGGTTGAGAAGCACAAAACACAGTTACATAATAAGTATGAACAAGCATGCTAAGAAGTGTCATTCATTTCCTGAAAGCCACTCATTACTGTCTTAGTAACACCTTGGAAAAATGTAATGATACTTATAGAGACACATATTGGCTATTTTTAGAGTAGTTGCTCCTGAAAACATATTGTAAACAAGAAAGGGGAACCGAAAAAGGGTGAGTGTTTTAGCAGAAACTGGACTAAAGAGAATCAGGTAGTTAACACTGAAAATCCAATATTCCATCTACCCACCACGGGAAAGTTTGACTCTTTTTTAGAGAGCCGAACAGGACTTTCCATGTCTGAGACGTAAGCACACCACAGTTACCCATAGAGCACAGACAACACTGACCAAGCACCACACACTTTCTACTTTGACAGCTGGGGTAATTCTGGCAGCTTGTGCTTTTGGCAAGGAGCGTGTCAAAATCTAAACATGGTGTGAAGGTGTGTAGGTGCACGTGTTTGGTGACCCTGTGTAATTTAGACTCTGAGATGCCAATTCTAAAATAGATATACACAGAAATATTTACCACAACCATGAGGCCAAATTACTGAATGCAATGAGTAAACTGCTTATCAAGCACGTAAGCAATGCAAACAGTGAGGTGTAGTATTTCCGAGACTTGCTGATTAACATTTATGTACTGTAAGTTAATCATTTGCATGGAACAAACGTGTGACATTCGGCATGGGAATAAGGAAGGCATGCTATCAGGATTATACAAAGCAGTTCACGTAAGCAGAGTTTGTCACAGGAACCAGCTGTGCTGCTTCAGGGAAGAACTACCTCTTTCTATCAGTTGGTTGATTCTCTGCTGTAACATATTATTAACTCATTATTAACGATGCTATACTATATGTAGAATTTAATGGATATTTGTTTTTTGTGGTTTTCATTCTTTAGAAAAAACAAGCTAAACCTTTCATATGCAAACATTTAACCTTTCTGCACCAGCCATGGCATTTGTAACAAAATGCAACAATAAAAATAAAATTTTAATAAAACCAACCAGGGCAACTTAATAGCAACTTTTAGCATTCCTACAGATTTTAATTTGTGACTCTCATTTGACATTTGCAGGTGACTGTAGCACATAAAGTTTTTATTTATTTATTTTTTTATTATTTATTTTTTTAAACAATGCACATCAATGATAGTTGATAATATAAATAAATGACATTTTTTGAATATGAACTGGTTTAGATAGATGATGGTCAAACAGAAATCAGTTCAAAAGTTTGTATCTCCCTTCCTGCTTTAGTTTGACTAGAAGCTTTTTAATTAGAAGACCATCTTGGCCAATTGGTAGAAATGTGGTGGCAAAAAGTCTATGAATTACCGTTATTAATGTGATTTTATAAAGTTTAACAATACCATAACGGTAATGCCGGTTGCTTGCTGGACTAGTGGCTAGCACGTGGCGCTCTCATCACCACAGCCTGGGTTTGATTCCTGGTCAGGGATCCGACCTCAGCCACTGAAGTGTTGCATGAGCCAGTGCCCTCTCGGTGCCACTCCCAAGCCTGGAAAATTGGGAGGGTTGTGTCAGGAAGGGCATCCGGTGTAAAACTTGTGCCAGAATCAATATGCGGATGGGTGATCTACTGTGGTAACCCTGAAAGGGGAGCAGCCAATTTATCCACTTAAAAAAGAAGCTGGAAAATAACTTAACAGTTGGCAAAAAACAACAACATTTGACCAGTTTGGCCGGCTCTGCCTGTGTTGTGGCAGCTGTAGCTGGTTTTGACCAAGCTGGATTTTTCAGCAGTCCTGTATGTGATAATATCATATAACATCTAATAAAATGTTTTTGGCTGTTTTCTCTCCAGTGTCTTTCCTACCCTGTGAACAACTGACTATGTCAGATTCTTCAGCTGAGGTGTTGTGCTAAAACCCTTATTCATTTTTAAAGTTTATTTGTGTGGAGTTTGCATGTTCTGCTCGTGCTGCGGGAGTTTCCTCCGGGTACTCCGGGTTCCTCCTCTTCCAGTCCAAAGACACGCATGGTAGTGTATGAATGGGTGTGTGAGTGTGTATGTGATTGTGCCCTGCAGTGGACTGGCACCCTGTCCAGGGTGTACCCCGCCTTGTGCCCGATGCTCCCTGGGATAGGCTCCAGGTTCCCCGTGACCCTGAAAAGGAGTAAGTGGTAGAAGATGGATGGATGGTTATTTATTTACTTATTTCCAGTTTGCCGTTTTGGATTACTGTCTTGTTGCAGGACAAATCCACGTTTCATTGTTAACTTCTCGGAATCCTGTTTTTGTTGAGTTATTAAAATAATTTGATTTAGGGCTACATTTTCATATATATATATATATATATATATATATATATATATATATATATATATATATATATATATATATATATGATTAGAAATATAAACAAAGTTGTATATATATATATTTATACAACTTTGTTTATATTTCTAATTTGTATTAGCAACTACACTGGTTTGTGATTATCCATCCAACGCGTTTCCATGTTACCAAGGCAGCGCGTGTTTATTTTTTGGTTCAGAAAAAATAATCGCGCATATAAACTTCCTGTAAAAGGGCTGCCTTCTCATAGGAGGAACGAGACAGAGTAGGACAGAGAGAGAGAGAGAGAGGGAGGGAGAGAGAGAGAGAGAGAGAGAGAGAAGGAGGGAGGAGGACGAGCGCCCGCAAATACCAGGAATTGCGCATTAAGAGAACTTACTGACAGTCTGAATTTACAGGAACTCGCGGGCCGGGCCGTGTACACAGAGGGCGGGGCGTGTGCACAAGGGGCGGGGCTTCACACTCGAGTGTATATATATAGAGATCCACCGGCGCTTCAGCTTACTACAACAGCAGGTTTAAAAGAACTTCGCTTCTGTTCACGGACAAAATTCACAGTTACAAAGGATTTTACTGAGCGGTCCGGTCAGCCTGTGGACTGCTACAGACTTCACGCACTCTGGATATAATTCAATACTAAGGACCATTACAGGTAAGATTTAGTCGGAATTGAATTCATTTATTTCGGAAATCTATCTAACAGAGCATATGTCTGTATGACCTGAAGTAGCGGTGAAGTCTTCACAAACTGTCGAGTTCTCGAGAAGTGTGTTTTTGAAACATAATAATGCTAAATATTTCAAATAATTAACTGTTTAAGTCACATACAGCCATGATGAACGGTCATGTTTACAGATTATTGTACTGGAGACACCTATTAAAAATAACCTTAGGTTATATTCCTAACTGATTCCCTTCTTAAACATTGACCCCATGATTATTATTATTATTATGTTACTTTGATCCTCATTTATCAATGTAATAGTAGTAGTGTCTCTTATCCACCAGACCTCTCCATCTAAGAGTACCAACTTTACTGTTGTCTTGATTAGTCTGTTATTCCCTGTTACCAAAATATCCATAAAATGCTGTCTGTCCTCTTACTTACTGTATGGTTGTAACACATCTCCTCCTCCTTCTCCGTAGGTACCTCTCCATCATTTATTCCAGATTATATGTGTGTATAGCAACATGGTCACACACAGCAAGTTTGACACGGCAATGAGCAGCTGCGCCATCACCCCTCACTGCTACAAGACATTCAGCTCCAAGCTGCAGTACCAGCTGGTGCAGCAGGCATGGTGTCGACTCCAGCAGAGTGGCTTCTACTGGGCCTCGATTAGCGGAAAGGAGGCAGGTATTATGTTGGCACAAGAGCCGAGTGGCACTTTCCTGATCCGTGACAGCGCAGACCGGCGACACTTGTTCACGCTGAGCGTCAAGACATCATCGGGCACCAAGAATGTCCGCGTGCAGTGTGACAACCGCTCTTTTTTCCTGCAGACAGATCCAGAGGGTGAGCGGACAGCACCGCGGTTTGACTGTGTGCTCAAGCTTGTGCACCACTATATGAACTCACCGAAACAGCCCAAGGACAACTCGCGAAGTGCATGCTACATCTTCTCAGGAGGGGAGAAGGTTCCTCTGGAACTGTGCAGACCCTACTCCTGCAACATGTCCTCGCTGCAGCACCTGTGCAGAAAGACCGTCAATGGCCACATGGATATCTTGGCCAAGAGGGATGAGCTGCCTCAGCCTCTAAAGGACTTTCTGCAGGAGTATGATGCTCCAATTTAAACCACAAGTACAAGTGACGTGATGTAGTCGCACTGATTATCAAGGATTTGAGTAGAGCAGCTAAGAGAATGGAAACGAGGGAATGGAATGGCCAGCATGGTGTGGGCTCACTGCCATCAAGCACATGGGAGAAGATCAAGAAGATCGAGAATGACTGAAGTGATGAATGTAAACAAGCTAGGCGTAGATGGACTAGGTCAACAGGAGACTGAACTCGGAAAGGTGAAACTCTGCAAACTCATCTAACTTCTGGGAGCAGAGATTTGGTGTGTAACTTGGTTTGACTTTGGATTAGTCAACAAAAACCAAGAGTGCTGCTATTTGTCATGTTGGGAGAGACGGACCCCCGACCTCCCGCAGACACTCTTATTTGCACAATAAATTAACATCAAGACAATGGTCCACTGTTTAATACTTTCAGCAACTGCAAGCCAGGAGAGAAGTTTGAGAAATCACAAAACAATCACAAAAATGAAATGTTTCTACTGGTTTAGATCAAAACCTGTATGCAGAAATAGGCAATTAAATGAAAGAGGAAAAAAATCACTGTAATGAGGTTTTTATTTTTTTTTTTAAGTTACTTCATTGAGTAATCTTTGTACAGAGTGTATTTTGTAGAACGTGAGAAGGCAGTAGCAGAATGTGCTTGCTTATGAATGTATTTAGATGGAGAAACTTAACCGTTTTAAATGGGCCAATGTCCACACTTGTATTATTCTTGTACTTGTTTACATTGTTTACATGTGTGAAGATTTAAAAAAAAAAATCTGCTGTTGTTTTAATGCCATGTTTCTTAATGTGACTCCATATTAATGCTTGAAAAAAAATGCATTGACACAGCGACAAAAGTAAGCAGACTGAAATTACTTTGCACATATTTATATTTCTAAGCAATTTCAGTAAGTTATATTAAAAAGCACTATTTTTCTACAAATTGATTCCTTCTGTTTTTTTGTGGTGACTCCTTCAGCTTCACAAATGATACTATTGGTGCTAACAATGAATGTAAGTTAGATTAAGCAAATAAAATTTGATTATTATTATTATTATTATTATTATTATTATTATTATTATTATTATTACTACTATTAATACTATATGGAGTTCAATTTTTAAGATATCCAAGTAATGTTGTCTCTCACACACATTGACACAGGAACATATTTGAGTAATTATTTAGACTTCTGATCTCAAAGCAACCCATCCTGTCAGGATGAATCAGAGTGTTGATTCAGAGATATTCACTCCTAAAAGTGGGAATTTGCCCCCCCTCCCATTTCCAGTAAGACTTTAACTAGAATGAGTAAGACTCTCTTTGTCCACACAAGATTATCATCGCTGTATCATACAATAATATGAATTTTTAAATCACACTGAAAAATACATCATTGAATAGTAGAAAATAAACAATGAGTTTATACCTCATGACTTACTTAGTTTGCACCTGTGTGACTGCTGATGCATGGGATGTGTCATAAAACAGTATAATTAACTATGACAGCATTTGGCATTCTTGCTATCATCAATAACATTTAAAGGATACTGTTAGTTATTATTTTTCACTTTTATAATACTTGTTGCTATACCTTTGTATTTAATTAAATGCTTAAATATGACCTACACTTCTACTTTCCCACTCTTCAACCTGTTGTCAATGACTAAAAGAGGCTTGTCTAGGGCCACACCCCACAATCAGAGCCCTAAAAATGTCTCACAGGCTGACATAGCACACACCCATTGCCTACTTGTATAGTGTATACAGTACACACATAATGATTTCAAATTAAGAGAGCTGGGAAGGGGTGTGTTCTAGAAAGGATTAGTGCTACTGCCGTTGTGTGCTTGTTAGCCTTAGGCGGGTGTTCCTCGTCTCTGTGTTGAAGTGGTTTGTATGAGGAGGTCTGGCGTGTCTGCTGGGAAACCAGTTAAGGCTTACTCTGACAGTCAAAGCTGCTTTGTGGTTTACACAATATGAATAGAATATAGCTGCCATTTCCCCCACTCACTCATGGCCTGGGACTGTAAGTGGCTAAGAGCCCTTACATCTGTATTTTAGAAGATGTATGCAGTCTGAAAGGTATAGGTATCGATAATCCCCTTTTTATATAGGATGTTCCCCAAAAGGTGACGTCAATGTAATGAGATTCAGTAGTGTAAGCACACATTTTTAGAAGTTGCTAATAATTCTAGCTGTATAAGCCTATTACAAATTAAATTCCACCAAACTCCACAGTTTTTTCTTGCTAAATTACTGAAAAGGCATTTTCTTGATATGATTACTCACTTTTTTGCACATTAATTTCAATAACGCCATGGAAATTCATGTATGGCCTGTTTCATTGC